AACACGCATGTACAAGAGTAATCCTTGCGGTAGGAAAGACACAGCACTCTTCCAACAGTCAAGATGCTTGAAAAACCCTACAGAGCACAAGATCCAATATGGAAACAAGAAAAGGATTCCCCAAAGGGATACAAGTTGATAGTGAGTTCGGACAAAATATTACACCCAACTGACTCAATCAAACTCTCTAACAGTCTGATCCTCCGCATTAATACCAACTAAAACTATTCTTCTTGAGTTCAAATGCATAACCCAAAACAAGCTCATAATCGTGCAACATGGTAACTGCATTAGAGAACATATTAGCATCACAAGATTTTTTTTAAGAAAAAGGGAATCATGTCATCATCTAATTAGAGATAGAAGATTTCCATCATTCCTCTCCCATACTCAGGCCTCACAAAAACCCTCTCTCAGACCCTCGAGATGACATAAGATTATGGACATCCACCACCAGCGTAGAAAGCGACAGAGAAATAGGGATCCCTTCCCTCACCTTCTTCTACCCATGAAACCAAGTTGTAGACTCCCCACACCCCAGGCACAGACATCCTCTTGTCCATCTCCACCTACTTTCACCAAAGCTTTCTCTCATCATACCTTATACAAAAAACCCCAGGTAATATAAATAGTATCGCTCAGCACCGACTCCAATCTCAGAGAACAGTTTCCCAATCTCAACATTAAAATGGAATTCCTCAACTGCCTTCAATAAGTCATCCTTAATATAGTTTCAGCAGTTCTGAATTTTTTTTAAAGAAAAAAAGAACAGAGAGGCCTTAAGTATTAAAATCAAGAGCCTTGTCCAACACAAAAGCTCAGGCTGCTTTGTTCCTCCTCTTTAAACCGCCCATCAACAGCACACCAATGTAGTCCCTCTAGAACTGGCAGTCATCATCATCCTCCCCAACTTTTTCTAAAATCTCATAATTGTATCAGCTAGGAGAAATGAATGAGATAATTTCTATTCAATATTCTTTTACAATCATTAATAAAGAAATGAATGTGATTTATTGAGTTTTAATATATTATAGACACTGATCTATTTTGCAAATTTTGTTATTTGATAGAATGACAAAAAATAATGATGGAATTTTTCAATTCTCTTTACAAGAGATCAATAAAGTCATTCACAACTTATGCGGTCTTTAAAGTAACAAAATTATTCTATCATCTAGGTAGGAAACCTCAAAATAGCTAACTGTACAGAAAAAAAAGATTTTATTGAAACTATAGTTTGTCCAGGTTTTTAATTTAAAGTTTAGAATATTTTAATTTTTTATACAATTTTGTTAATGTTTTTGTAACTAAGTTTATTTTAAAAAATTTCATATTATATACTACATGATGACCTTTTGTTTAGAAATTGTTAAAATTTTAAAGTTAATTGGTTAATATTGGCATGCAAAGCATGATAAAATTAAATGTAATTTTTTTATTTGTAACTAATTTGGTTTGGTTAACCATGGTTGTTCACAAACAAAATGTAGTTCGATTTTTGTTTAACAAATTGTCAAACAGTTCACTTCAATTTATGCTTTTCAATAAAAACAAACCGCAATTAAACAACCCATGAACAAACCTATTAGCGAAATAAGCTGAAATATCTACGAGCCTTCATTTCATCAACTTTTACATATATGACGCAAACCAATTAGAAACAAAACAATCCTGTTGCATGCTAAACGCAGAGAAAATAGAACATACCTGTCCTCTCTTGCAATTAAAATAAGTTTCCCTTAGTCCCACACACTCACTTGATATTGATGGGCTCTTCTCTCCAGCACATTCCCTATAGGATCGCTTCTCCACCTCGAAATAAATAAAGAAAAAGGTAAAGAAAAAGAAGGAAGCAGATAAACTATAAAGAAAGTGGAGAGAGAGAGAGAGAGAGAGAGAGATCCTATAAAATTGGTACTTGTAATGGAAGAACAGACAGATTGACATCTTGTAGGAAAATAGAGCCCATGAAGCAGATTCTTGGGAAAAAGAGTGGGAAAGAGCATGTTTAGATAGTGGATTACCCTAACACAATCTGATTCGCTAAGGCATTTTACCAGCTCCATAGCAAGGCCCTTACAAGACTTTGACATATCCTGTTAGATCAAGAAAAGACAAGGAGGATATAAAACATACTTGAAGAATCAAGTTCAAGTCTATGGCTAAGGTATCTACAGGTGTCAAAAATAAAAAAATGGCTAAGGTATCTACATCTAAAGGTGGTCCCATGCGAGAATAGTAGTTCCATGTTCATCACCTACAAGCTTAGGGATAATGAAAGCTTTAGACATCAATCTTGATATACTAATTATTTGTTAGAGGATAAGAAGCCATTTCAAATTTATTTCGATATCCTTGAATCACATGCAGACAGCTCCAGTCGGAAAGACAATTGACATAGCACGGTAGCCTAGGGTTTTGAGAGAGAAAAATTTAAAAAAAAAAAGAAAAGATAAATAGAATCCATAATCACGGGGATTTACAACAACTAACTAAGTTGCCACAACCACAGTTACACAGTTATTAAGCTCTCACTTCAACAAGGAAAATCAAATATTTTGTTCAGAAGCAGGCTGTTCAATAATTATGCATTGGTCATACATCTACAGGGTGCCTACATAGCCAAACTAACTAAAATCCTTAAATGGGAAAACAATAA